GGTTATCTCTATATCCCGTCTGGTATGAGCGCCAAAAATACCATCTCTCAATACCCTGTTCGGTATGAGGGTGAAACAAGTCGTCCTCATACCCCGTCCGGTATGAGCGCCAAAAATACCATCCCTCAATACCACGTCCGGTATGAGGGTGAAACGGACCGTCTCCATACCCCGTCTGGTATGAGTGCCAAAATACCAATCATCGATACCCCGTCCGGTATGAGACAACCTTCACGGTAGGGTTCCCTATTCACCCGGTCCGTCTACCATCTCCTAAGATATCCAGTAAAGCTACCATTCATTCATTCACTTAACCAAATAATTCGCCGTTTATATTTCTAGTTTCAAAATTTAACTGTGAATCACGCAAAATCAACAATAGATGGATCAAGAAAATACGACTGAATCATCTTACCAACTCTAGTGAATTGTCATGCATTTAAAAATGTAAAATCAATCAATAAATTAAAACAAGATAAACAGTGATAAATAACCAATTCTGCCTCCATTAGTAACCTGTGATTAATTATTAAGATTTTTTAAATTATACAAAATGCCATATTATTTATAATTAAACTTCAATTCTATAACAAAGAATAGGGTGAGGGATTCTTACTTGAATCGGTGTCGTAACACTAAACTTTCAGCTGCACCTACTGGCGGTCCCTAGATTCTCTGAATTTTCATTCGGAGATTAAAACACACTCCAAATACCTAGAAATACCTTAAAAAACTCAAAATCGATGTTAAAACCCTCTTTCAGCCAGTTTCAGAATTCCAGCACGATGGCACCGCCGTGCTTCGGTGATAGTATCGTCGCATGCGGTGGCAGTTTACCTCGAGTTGATCGTTTTCAGCCGGTTTTATACTCATCCCTGCGAGAAAATATGTTAAGAAATCGAAAAACAGAAGCTTACCGGCAGCAGAGTTTTCTGGTGCAGCGACTCTATCAGCTCACCTTCGCGGTTGGGAATTTTCCTTCGGTCAACCTATGAAAACAAAATGGTAAAAAAATTGTACGAAACGAGAATCGAGAAGGGCCTCATCGGAGGCAGTTTTTGATTTTTTTTTTCCGGCGGCGCCGCCAGGCTTTACTCGCAGTTTTCAGCTCATCCGCCAGTCTTCTTGCTCCGATTTGGTGATGGGGGTGTTCAAAATCAAATTTCGAGCGAATAAATTTTTTTTTACCTCTTTTGGTGGTCGGAGGTGGCTCCGGCACAACGGCATGTGGCGGTCGGCTCTTTTCCCGGCGACTGGTTCTTCTTCTTTGGTGGGCAAGAGGGGCGGGTGCTTGCAGATAGGGTTAGGGTTTGGTGTAAAATGAGGTATTTATATCCGTATTCTTTTACTCTAGGCCATCCATCGCGATTGATTTGAACTGTTCGATCGCGTTTAAATAGGAAATAAATCTGAACCGTTCATCGCGATTTGATCTGGATCGTACGATCGTGTTCAAAGATGGAACGAATCTGGACCGTCCAATCGCGGGCACGTAGATTGCCAGTGTAGCCTCCCGCGTGGCACTGCATCAGCGCGCCTTGCCACACGGCGCGCTCTGGTTCGTTGGAGTTACTGATTGGGCGGTCCTACGTGGTACATTTATTTTAAATTGCGTTTTGACCCCCAGTTTCTGATTTTTTTTTTCAAAACACCTACAGAACTCAAATTTTTACTCTTTTTTTCCAAAATTGTTTTCGATTTCATCATCCACTTATTTTTCTTAATTTTTACATAAAAAATTCATAAATTTAAAAATTATATTTTATTATTTAATTTTAAATATTTTAAAATTAATTTTCGGTCCCCCCCCCTCTCCCTCCCTTAAAAAAATTTAGTCCCTCAAATTTGTCTCTCTCTCACTCAATCAAATAGTTGAGGATACTGGACTCTGAAGTCTAATTTTAGCTCCCATGTGGCCTCTGCTTGTGTATGATTCTGCCATACGACCTTAATGAAGGGAATTTCCCGGTCGCGGAGTACTCTGCTCTTTCGGTCCACAATACCAACTAGTATCTCTTCGTATAAAAGATCCTCATGTAGTGAAAGAGGCTCGTGGGCCAAGATGTGAAAGAGGTCCGGATTGTATTCGTGTAACATGGACATATGAAACACATTATGGATTATGGATAGTTCTAGGAGTAGTGTCAGTCAGTAGGCGACGGTGCCAATTCTATATAAGATTTTAAATGGCCCAATAAACTAGGGATTTAGTTTCTCCATTTTGCCAAACCTATTGATTTCCTTAAAAAGAGTGACCTAAAGGAATACCCGATCACCTTTCTGAAATTCCAAATCCCTCCTCCGGGTATCCGCATAACTTTTCTGTTTGCTCTAAGCCGTCAGGATGTTCTTCTTAATCTTAATTATTTTAGTTGTAGTCTCCTCCATAAGATCTGAACTGAACAATCTTCTATCACCCACCACTTTTCAGTAGATCGACGATTTGCATGGGCGACCATATAATGCCTCGTACGGAGTCATACAGATACTTTGATTAGTAGCTATTA